GCTATCAGCCTATAATTCCTAGTTAAATTCTATGACCTCCTCAAAGAACATAAATAAGTGCAAATTAAAGATTTAGGTTAGAATCCTATCATTCCAAAAGAAAATATGTAACCCAGAGGTGGCAAATCAGAGTTTATTTGGAAGAAAGTTGTTTTAAGAATGATATTACCAGGATATAAAGTGATAAGCTATGCCATCCAATTTCAACAGTACCATCTCAGTGGGAGATGTTCTATGAAACAGATAAAAATAAAACCCGAGCATACAGTATGCAGCATTTGAGGCATGGATTTCCCATATGTGTGTTATACCAAAGAAAGACATTTTATTGCTACCAAGTTCTTATGAACTACTTGTCATTGCCATACAAGTTATATAGTGGAGGTTGAAGTCAGAAGTATCTTGAAGACAACAAGCTTATCTACCTCTTTTCTATTTTAAAAGCCAACATATTTCTGAATGTAGGAGATATATACATTTAAGTATGGATTTAATATACAGTAATCATAAGAAAAACATATATAAGGATGGATTTCCAAATATAATTCTCTCATCCAAGCACACTCTCAGTATTAGATTATTGCTTGAAAAGAAAAACACTGTGGAGGCAAACTTCAGGAAATTAAATTTCAGTTGGGGAAAGGATCCTGCATTCCTCATGCAGCCATATTTTATGATTAAAAATGTATTTTGATGACCTTCATATATTCGTCATGTTATATATTGGTCATATAGTTTGATCATGCTAGATTGGCTCTCACAAGTTGGGAAAACACAAAAGACCTATACAAAAAGGCAATCAGATTGTTAGCTCTGGATTGCCTCAATGGAAGCAATCTTTTTTGGATATGTCAGACACAGGAGAGTGGATTAATGAACTTGCCAGAAATAATTGTGAAAACAGTAAAGACAATGTCCTCTTCCCCTCACAGAAATTGCTCTCATGAGAATTATATGCAGATGTACACACCTCTCTTTAAGTTGTTCAATATCAAATAGGATTTCATCTCTCTGTATCCGTGCTCTAGCACTAAGGCTCTCACTCTGTAGGTTTTCCAGATAATCTTCAACTTCTGTTGGGGAAAAGATTGCAAAGAAAAAAATAATTAGACTTTATTCAGCAATGTAAACAATATACTGAAAATTATTGAACTCAGAAGAAATAAGCATAACCCAACTCATATAAAATAAATTAAAGGTAAATGGCCATTCATAGACAAAGACAGTAAAAATATATAACAAAGCTAAATCTATTAATAAATAAAAAAAAGCAAATTAGAAAACCAGAAGTAAATAAATATATGTGTGTAAATAGAGGAAGAAATCTGGTTTGTTGTTATGATTTATAATGGCCACAAAAATTCAATATTTCTTGAAATATTTTATCAATCACATTAAAAAAAACACTTCTGAAGGGAGGAAAAGGTAGAAACTTATTTTTTTACTCATTTTATTTCCTGGATATGAGATTGCTATCTGAGCCATTTCATCACATATGATCATATATTTTTCTACAATATATAACTGTTTTGCACCACCAAATGTCCATATAAAGGGATAACATGGCTTATTCTTCGGTACATCTAGATTATTTAGACTGATAAAAATACCAAAGGTACATAATTAATTATAATTACTGTGTTATATTAGATCAACAATAGGATGTAATGTAATAAAAATGCCAATCATTTCTGCAAATTTCTCTAATGCACAACTTTTCTCTCACATTTCCACAGATATCAGCCATTTTCATAGGAAATGAGATAGGATGGCTGAACAAAAAAATTCAGAGTAGACTAGGAAGAGTGGTACATAAACTGTAAAAAATTAAATTACTTTATTTTTACTGCACAACTGTGATCTTATAAAATATCCAGAAAAGGCAATACAAGCGAACAAATTCACATGACAACATTTCCCAGGGAAGGAGAAAAACAAAGAAAGACAAAAGCAGCCTTGTCTAACCTAGACTGGTATGTCTTATTCAAATACATTTTTAAGATGTTGGAATGGGGAAGGAAGGGTTAGAAAAACTTGTAAACAGAATAAATTAGCTATTATATAATTACAAATAGAAGGTTCTATTTAAATATAAAGTTGAAAAGACACAGAACTTCACATTTAAAAATCCAATGAAAAAGGTCTTCTGGACTGCCAGTTTAAAAACTGCATTTCAGATTAGCCCTAGTTTATTGTTAGCCAGAGGACATTAGATCTAAAACCTGATGTACTAAAAATACTTTTAAGTATGTTTACTAAATAAATGTCTTCAGTACTGAATAAACACAGCTTGTCTCTCAAACCTGCCAAGATTAGGAAGCAGTTTTACATGCAGTCTCAAGCCTTAGCAATTATTGTTTTATAAATTAATTTCTTGTTATTATTCTGATGATGTTGTAAAGTAACACACTCTTACTTACAAATGAACATCTCTATATGTAGATGACACACTTGACAATCCAACTTCTATATTTCTGATCTATGTTTTCTAAACAATATGATTACTTCTGATGACATATAAGACAGACATGGTAGTTGACACTGCAGCCTGTTTTTCTGGCTTATATTAATAGAATGTGCCTTCACTATTGGAAGGCCTAGAGAGTTTCTGGGTTGTAAAAAATGCAGCAAGTTTGATAATAGGAGAGCATGACATGCAATTAATCTCCATTCATAGCCTGCTCTACTTGTCAGAAAAAGAAGACTCCTTCTTTAGAAGGAGATCTGAAGACTTCAATTAAAAAGAGTCAGCTAACAAGAAAATAATCTAAGCTAAAGGAAAGGTGGCAGGTGCCGAAAATGAGCTGTTTACGAGAAATGTCAGCTCAAAACAATAAAGCACCTAACATTAAAAAGAAGCAAAATGAAATGAGTTGACAGTATCACATCCTCCATTTTAAAAAGGAAAAGAATACCACATGTTCAGATGGTAAGATAATTCAGTAAAAAAAAAAGTGTTTCTAAACCAGAGCCCAAAATATTGAAACTTATATTTGAGCTAAAAATCTTTTTTAAAGCTGTTTTTAGTTTCTTGTTTCAACTTTGAGACATATGAATTAATAAGAATATCCACAAGCCTCTGCAGCTTTCATCTCACTAATTCACACATATGTTGATCAAATAGTTGTGATCGAGTTATAAAAGCAACTCCCTAAAATATTTTCTGACTAAATCCTTTGCAACACTGGATAAGCCAACTGAAAATTTTTGTTAACACTATAGTGGAAATAGCAATCGAAAACTTATTTAGCAGATTAAACATTCCTGCCACAAAAAATACTGAGAAAAAACTTAATGGGAAGAAACTTAATTATGCCAATTAAAAATAATAAAAACCAACTTAAATAGGTAGACAAATGAGATGAAGGGGGGGAGTTAAATCAATACTATGGAGCTAAGTGTAAGCATCAGAAGAAACTAAGTGATATTGCTATTAATTTTTAGAAACTTGCTAAATACTTCTATGTACAATTCTACACATATACAGAGTTTTTTTTTAACTTCAAATGTTCTGCAAATGTATGCTAGCACTGCAAACAGAGTATAGGATAGCGTTCTAGTTCAAATTTATGGTCTAACTCTTATCTGAATATAACTTAAAAGGGGAGTGGGTAGAAATATAAGTTTATAAATTAAAGGCATTGAAGGTTCTATTTCCTTCAACATGTATCTTTGTAAAGTTGTTTGGTTAGCATTAAAAAGACCACATACCAAAATGAACTAAAGATTATACCTTAGAATCCTTTCTTTATAAATCATTAAAATATACCATCATCTGCAACATTCTGATATTAGAAAATTATAAATGGACTAAGGATCCAGATAAATTGAAACATTGAAATTTTGGATTTTTGGAATGCATTAGAAAAAATTAATAGCTTTTCTTAGGAAATAGATTCTATTTGGGTTTTAAGCAAAGATAAGCAATTTCATGATTTTAGAATATGATACTAGAGCGGACTAAAGTCAGTACTTTATATATTTTCTTTCCCTTTATTATATTTTTATTTTTATCTATTTTTTTCTTTTTTCTTGCCTTTTTCCTCTTTTCTATTCTTTTTTCTTTCTTTAAGTTTAGTTTGTACTACATTTCACTATTATAATTAAAATTCTTAAATGGATGGATGATAATACACATAGCAATAGTTGAGGTCTATTGATGAAATTGTTTATTTGTGTGAAGCATATTTTATAAACTTAGACTTGTCTTGTTTGATGAGGAGCTAGATCAAACTCAATTTCATTGATGGGCGGGTGTGGCTGACTGGGTTGGTGTGGCTGACTGGGTGGGGCCAGCTTGACGCCTCTCCCCATGTTTCCTCTTTGTATTGGGTAGACCAGACTGAAGCCACATTGGCCCGTAGTTTCCTCTTCGTATTATCACGCTGGCTGGTCCCTTACATTTTCCAGGGAGCTGGATCCAACCACATTGCAGTCCAGATTCGGCCTGCGGGCCTTGTTTTTGACACCCCTGAGCTAGATGGTCAAGGTCACCAACCTTCTGATCAAACCCTTTCCTCACTTCTTTCTTTCTTTCTTTCTTTCTTTCTTTCTTTCTTTCTTTCTTATTTATTTATTTATTTATTTATTTATTTATTTATTTATTTATTTTTCTGATGCTGCAAAGGGCTTGGCTTAGAGAAATTCTGCAGGATGGAAATGTTTGTCACCTACTTCTTACAAGTTCATAGTTGTAAGTTCAACCCTAAATGAGGCTTGGTTCAGAAAGATCAAGAAACAGAAATGAATAAGCATTAAGCGATGTTATACCATAGTTTGGAAATATATAACCTCTCATTTTAAACAACTGTCCCTTGCAAAAAATGAAATCATCCAGCATATCCTACTATATATTGTTTATTTTACAGAGATACTCCTAATACTCATCTTTTTTCATTACTTATAAATTGCCTGACTCTATAGGGCAATTTTATGTCACCATATCACTTTCTAATTATATTTCTAACACATTATGTTACTGTTTTATGCAGCAGTGTACAAAATTTGTGAAGAAATGATTGTTAGAAATAGTAAGACTTAGGTAGCTTATATCTGCCCTGTTGTCCTTAACTCATAGTTATGTATTACTGTTTATACTGCTATAGCTTGTTTTAGTTCTTTTTTGTTTGGACCACAGAATATTACATTATTATACATTATGTAACATTCCTCAAATGTAGCTTTAATCTTAATTAATCTTGTAACTTCTCAAGTACTTTTACAGTAAGTTTATATGCTTTAGTCTCTTTTTTCTAAATGAATACAATACTCTTTTCAAAACTTACAATCATAGGTTACCATTAATGGCATGATTGTAAACTTTTAAGTCTTTTGTCATATGTTTGTCAATGACCAAAGTATACAGTTATGTTATATTATCAATAAAGAAAATACATAAGTATTCTGCATTTTTTTAAAGATTAGATAAGCTAATATTAGGTGCATTGCAGCATTTAAATACACACATACATAATCAATGAATGAAATGCTTTGTTATTGTTTTTATATTAATGTATGCAGGCAATTTATATAGGGCAAAATAATAGAATGCAGACACCTTCCTGTCGTTGAAGGAATCTGATAGCATTTTTTCCAACTAATAAATGTTATTAAAAGTCATCAAATGCTTGGAAGTGGTTTGACTAATGTAGGATTTAAATTAGGAAGAATATGGGAAAGGAAATGGAGATGATTATGCAGATAAAGGTTATATGTGAAGCAGATTATATATTATCGTCTCAGTTAAAAACCCATTATTTGTTGAGACCTTTTCAGCCTAAAACATTTTAATGTATATGAGTTCAACAACCTTTCTAATAATGGTGCAGTTAAAATCTCATTTTTCCAAAAAGATCACTTTAAAATGTGCAAAACAGTGCCCAGGGAGGTTAAAATGTCCCAATACCACTTTGTCCTTATTTTGAGTAGATGTGTCCTGATATGAACTTGTGTCCATTAATTATGTCGAGCAAAATTGTCTTATTTGTCCTGTAGAGATGCATTGTTAGCAGATGATGACATCTGCCACCCCAAACCGTTTATTTACTTGTTGGGACCTGTGATGGTATTGTTGGCTTGATGTAGGGCCAAACTTGACATCTGGGTTTGTTGCAGGGCCTCTGGTAGTCCGAATGGCTGCATTAGAATCAGTTTCCATAATATTTCAACTATATTCCATGTATAAAGTTGGCTCAAATCATTCTGCTTTTGGACGTGAAACACCAAATGATCACCCAATTACAGTCAAGATGAACTTTTTTGTGGGGGAGGGAATTACACAAGTACCGCCTTATAACAAACTCCTGTATATAGCAATTTGCTACACTGATCCCACTGAGCTCAGTGGGAGCCCCTAAAAAAGTCTAAATTTATAATAAAATAAAATAAATGCATTGGTTCTGTCTGAAGGAAGAACATTGGTCTTCTACCATTCTTACTTATTTATCAAATTTATCAGCTGCCTATCTTATTACAGGGCAACTCTGGGTGGCTTACAATATTAAATATTCTTAGTTGGGCAGTTGATAAAAGCAATATATGTCAGAACGCTTTTCCGCCAATTAGATTAAAGGAATTAAAAGGGAATTAAGGAATGCATGTTAATAAGGAAAAGCCCTCTTTACCCCAATTTCAAATATGTTGGCATTCATTGAATCTACTCATAAGAAGTATATATAACAAGCACAGGAAACTCAGAGATCACGTTTAAAAAACAAAATACTCCTTGACTTACAGTACAAATAATCCTTGACTTAACAACCACAGTTGACACCAGATTTTCCATTGTAAATCGGAACAGCTGTAAGTTGAGTCAGATCTGATTGCTATTGCAATCAATTTGTTATTTGGCAATTGTTAGGGCAAATCACCACAATTGTTATGTGTATCATGTGATTGTTAAGCAAATCCATCTTATCAAAGAGTATTTTTTGGCAAAAATCAACAAAAAAAATCACAAATCACAATCACATGAGTTCAAGATACTGCACTGGTCTTAAATGCAAGTCAGTTACCAAGCATCCAAATTGTGATCACATGACAACAAAGTTGGTGTGATGATCATAAATGATTGTCAGGTGAAAAGATGAAAAGTCACTTTTTTTAAGGACATCATAATTTTGAAGCTTTGTTAAATGAATGATTGCAAATCATTCTGCAGGCCTGTGAAAGCCACAAGAAAAGTTTAAGTAGATTAAGTAACATCACCAAAACAGGGCTAAAAATTTGGGACCAGTTTTCCAAAAGAGGATGTTTCCTTTTTCAATATAGGTTTCCACAAGATATTTTTCATGTTTAAACGTTTAATTTAAAATCCTGCCAAAAACATGGCTCTGAAAATAAGCAATTTACTGATACAAATTGCTATTGCAATCTTAGAGTGTGGAGTCACCTATGTTACCAGCACATTGTTCAGTCTTATACTATCGGACTACAACCCTAATCTATAATTTAGCTCCAACGGAGCATTAAAATTTTAACTGATAAACCAATGAAGGCAAGCCTTAATCCATGTATTACTACAGAAAAGGGTGAAATAACATGTTAAAGGTTTTAATTTAACATTTAACAATAATAGTCCTTTTTCTGAATCTTTACCTTTCTTTTACCACTTCATAAAGCCTGGGACAAAGGGATTCCACAATTTCTCCCTTTATTTACCGGTAAATTGATTACAGTAATCTATTAAAAGGCAGAGAGAAACTACTGTTTTTTAAAATCATATTTTTATCATTCAATTGTCATAATTTAAGCAGTTATTTTCATTGTTTTACTAGAAGTAAGATTAAAAAATATTAGAAATTGGAAATAGAGAACATAGGAATTGGGTAGATTTTTCATAATAGAAGAAATTTAAAAGGAAGCACAAAAGGCACATGAAGTACTAAAGTTGCTGCCTGCCCTGTTTGACAGAACACAGGTATCTTCTGTTTGAAAGAGCTATTTTTCCTAATCTGGTTTAAAGCACTGCAAGAAACAAATACAAATGTCCTAATGTTGCCCTTCACCAGTTAGCCTTTACTAAGTGGGCACAAGATAGTAGTCAAAGACTTTTCCACTACAAGATGGATTGTATTTCCATTGAAGCCATAGGTATTTTTAATGTCCTGAAGAGAAGGAGGTTGATGCTCTCGCTTAGCAGTAAGTAATATTTTAATCTGAGGATTTTCGTATAACAAAGGTTTGGACTTCTACATTGACTTGCTTTTTAACCTACTCATGGCCAAGTTCCATTTCTGCAATATCCATCGTTCAAATATGAGATACCTATTTATTTATCAAGCTGCAATTTTAAATTGGTGTTCCTGCTGCGAAATCGGCTTTCTCAAAAGATGACCATCAGGTACTGCTTCATGAGATAATAATTTAATCTACCAATACCTCAATAATAATTAGTGGTTAAAAATAAAATAATATACAATCTACATAGTGTGGCGAGGGGGAGCTGTATTCAAGTTTCTTTAACTAAAGACACCATGTTTTGACCTTTATTTCCCTCGCAAAACATCTGAGTTATAGGCGAAATGCCTAGTTATTGAAAGAAACATTATAGTTACCTCCAAAGAGCTTCTGGACGTCCTCAGGAAGGATATCAGCTGCAGCTTTCATTAGGTTCAAATCTAGAGTAAAAACAACAACAAATGAACCCAAACAAAATTTGCTAGGATTTATTGCTTCTTCTACTATTAGCAGCTGCTGAAGGAAAAAGGAAGCAAGGATATTCAACAGACTGTACAAAGAAAGGGAAGGGCCTGTTTGTCTCCTTTACAATTGCAAGTCCCTCCTTCTCTAACAGAAAAGGCTGAGCAGGCACCTGTGAGAGTCAGAAATGCAGCTGTAATTCAGTTATTTGAGGGAAGCATTTCCTCCTTCTTCATCATTGTAATCCAAACCATATTGCCTTGATTTAACCTAAAGTGATAGTAAGGATATGTTTTTGCTGTCTGTAGCGTGTACAAATTTCACAGAAGTTTGGGCCCAGAGAATCTTCCACAGGATACCATAAAAGGGCCCAGCTTTTTAGAAAGGCCACTTTTTAAGTGCCTGTTTGTTTGGATGTATAGTGTTTTTTTTTTAACATTAAACCCTAACATTCAGAATGTTTCCTAAATATTATCAGTTTAAATTTGTTTATTAGAGCAGGAAATCCAACATTCATGCAATAGGACAGAAAAGGCAATTCTAAAAGAAAAGAGACTGAATATGTCCTATTTCCTTGGCTGGACAATCTCGTTGGTTCTTCTGGAGAGATTCTCTAACAAATCCACCAAGTAATCTAATTCAAAAATAACCAACACTTGGTGGTGGTGGAGATTCATTTTAAAAAAATAAATATTTCTTAGAGATAATATAACTTGCCCAGTCTTTCAGAGTAGATGAGCTTAAAAAAATGAAATAAATAGTAAATAAATGATTTCCTTGAGCTAAGTTTTCTGTCAGACTCAACATTTTCTGAGTATCAGTGCACCAGGGTTTTGCAATTCGTTATGGGATTTTTTCAACTTCTCGATCTAATATACCATGTTGGGATTTGGGGGGGGGGGGTTGAGTCCCTTTCACAAGCATTAATGAGGTCTAGCTCTGCTTAGTTTCCTGGATCAACTAAGGTCAGCTAGGCCAGGGGTCTCCACCTTAGCATCTTTAAGACTTATGGGCTTCAACTGTCAGAATTCCACAGCCAGCATAGCTGGCAGAAGAATACTGCCAAGCTTAGAGACCCCTGAACTAAGTACCTTGCTTGGAATATGTATCAAATTTCAAATATATTTTAATTTATAAGAGCAGTATAGATTAAATATAAATTATATGTATCTGTACATGCTCCAAATATCTCTGATATCAGACTTCCTGTGCAGTCAAATATCTCTGATCTTGAAAGTGTCTTTATAACACATGCTGAAAGCTTTTAACATTGGATATGCAGTCTACATTTTATATTTAAATAGACTAAGAGCAGCAGCAAATAACTTTAGCAAAGTAATACGTTTATTGAAAAGCATGTATTTCACAAGACTTATTGCTGGTAAGTATGAATATAAATAGGACAAAGAATTTATATTTTAAAATAAGCAGCTGCAATGAACCAAAGGTAACTCAGTTTTTAAGAGCTTTGTTTTGGGTTGTTTTGGAGCTTAAAAAGAAAAAGAAAAAGGAAGTGGGTTTATGAATGTATAGCAGGATGGCTCTGAGGTGGTAAAGGTAATATCCTTTCTTAAAAGTTATTCTGAGGAAATGTGTTCATACTTCAAGCCTGTATATCTACTGTATATAAACTAAAGCCAACTCTTATTCATTAATTTAGAAAATATTGATTTTATTGATAAAGTTCAATAGTTTCAAGCATTTTTAAACTCTGTCATTGTATTATTTAGAAATTAGTAATCTGCTAATTTGTCATCTATGACTTTGGTACAAACAGGCTTCCCTTTGTAATATTGCATGCATGAACTGTTGTTCCTTATGCATTTAATTTTCTCTTTGTATAGCTCATTTAACTTTGTGGCTTGCTTCACACATCACTGTTTCTTTTAATAGTCATTTATTCAGTAAAGCACAATGGCCATATTTACACATAACACTAATCCATAAAGCAACATGTAAACAACCATTTTGGAACCAGAGTGCATTTGGACAGTTAAAAGCATCTAGTGGATCATAAAATGGTTGCCATTCACAAAATGGCTATGATGGTGAACTAAGCATAAAACAAGAGGAAGTAGCTTCACCATTTTTGCAGGTTCACATTGCACATGTTGATGCTTTCACATTATGTAAACTCCTCGACTTGCGACCGGCTGCAAGTCCTTGATGTATGACCACCTGCAAGTCCACGACCTACAACCTGTCTGTCCAGCAGGGTGGCGCCTATTGGCTGAGATGCACTTGGCTGAAGCGGGACTTTTACTGTTTCCCTATTGGTTGCTCTGCTTGACAGCTCAAGTATAAATAGCTATCAAGCAGAGCATGGTGCTGAAGTTGTTCTACAATTACTTGCTGTTTGGTTGTAATAAATAGTTCCTTAAGGTTACCTCAGCGAATCTGTTGCCTCTGTTGTCCAGTTTATAATACTGGCGATAAGGATGGAATACAGAGGAGCCTAACAACTTCAACAAGAGAAAAAAACATTTTTCCCTCACATGACCCTCCTCACAACTCAGCACGTTGGATCTGAGAATGGCGGTGTTCCCACACTTCGCTCCCTTCTGCTCTATCATGGAATCATGGGACGGGTTCCTGGAGCAGTTTGAATGTTTCTTGCTAGCTAACAACATCCACGAATTGCCTGCAGACAGAAAGAGAGGTTCCTTCCTCAGTTCCTGCGGACCCGAGATGTTCGCCACCACTCGAGTTCTAGCTGCTCTCTCGCACTCCATTTCATGGGACATTCTGCTCTTAAAGCTCTGAAACCACTATTCCCCAACTCATTGCCACATTGCCAGATATCACTCGTTCCGGCAATGCCTGCAGAAGGGGAAACAGTGAACCAATATCTGGCTTCACTTAAAACGGCAGCCACACAATGCAAGTTCCATGATCTGGACAACTCACTTCTAGAACAATTTATATGCAGAGTCCAGGACATTTGCCTTCAACAGTGGCGGCTGGCACATTCAGAATTGACTCTGCAAATAGCCATGGACAAAGCCAGAGCAGCTGAAATGTCTGACAAGTCCATGGCTGAAATCCAGAAGTGCCAGCAGCTATTGTCTCTGGCTGCCAAAGCCTTCCAAATATAAGACATCAAGCTTCTGGAAGACCCCGATGATGATCAGATTGGCCGCCTCAAGACAATGCCAAACAGGCAAGCCGTTGTTCCCACCAGATCTACTCCAGGAGGGTGCCTAGGCTGCAGAGGCACCCATTCCCGAATAGAATGCCAGTTTAAAAAGGCCATCTGCCGATGCTGTAACAAGAAGGAGCATTTAGCCCACGTTTGCCAGGCTAACTTGCCCTCACCAAACCCAGCCAACTTCTGGCCGTCGACAATATGACCTAAATGCTGGCCGGCCCTACCAAAAGAAGACTGCTTTGCTGTCACCAGAACTCACCACCACAAAGTCGCCTTGATTAGTAGTATGTCTTCCTCCTCGTCTGACAGTAAAAAAAAAATCCACCTTACTCTATACTTCGAGGGTGCTCCATGCTGTATGGAGGTTGATACTGGCTTTTCCAGAACAATCCTCTCTTGGAGCACCCTCTGCCGCCTTGTTCCAGCCATCACAAGAGCCTAGCTGAAAGAAGCCACCACTAGTCTGCATGACTATCAAGGACATTCAATTTCCACCCGGCTCTGCTTGGATATCCTACTTGACTACACAATGTTCCACAGCTGCCTGCCAGTGAACATTATGGCCAACCCGATGCCTGCACTCCTGGGGTTGGACTGTTTCGCTAAGCTCGGCCTCTCACTATCAGGCATTCACACCACCTCCCCTGCTGCCATCTCTGTAGAAGACGTCACCCAGGAATTTGCTGACGTCTTCAACAGCACCCTTGGTAAATTTAAGGGTTTCCCCATCAGCCTCAACCTATACCCCCAGGTGGATCCCATAGGATTAAAGGGTCACTGAGTGCCCTTTGCTTTGAGGCCCAAAGTTGACGTGGAGCTTGGCAAGCTTCTGGAGCAAGGGATCCTTGAACTTATCGACCATTCCAAATGGGAGAATCTTATAGTGATTCCCATTAAGGCCAATGGGTCCATTAGGATCTGCGCCGATTACAAATCAAATATCAATAAGGTCCTCCAAGCAAATCTATATCCAGTTCCCGTAGTGCAACACTTGTTCCCTAGGGCAGGGCTCCATCTTAGCAAAATTGGATATGTCCCAGGCCTACCAGCAGCTCCCGGTGGATGATGAGGCCACAGCTGCACATACCATCATCACCCACCGAGACACTTTCCATTGCCAAAGGTTGCAATTTGGTGTCTCCGTGGCCCCTGGAATATTCCAGAGCTTAATGGAGCTGTTGCTCCATGGCCTCCCTGGGGTCATTCCATATTTCTATGATGTTCTGATCGCTGTTGGCTGCAGATCAGAACCCAACAAAATGCTACAGAAGGTCCTAACTCACTTAAATTAAAGAGCAGCAGATGCTGCATTGGGGTGCTCCAAGTGGTGTTCTTGGGATTCCTGATCAACACTCAAGGACTTCACCCCACCCCTTCCAAAATTACGGCCATAAGGAATGCCCCCACACTAACCAATAAAGCTGAACTGCAAGCATTTCTCAGCCTTTTAAATTTCTATGCCTCCTTCCTCACATAAAGCATCTCTAGCTGAGCCTCTACATCAACTACTTGACAGCTTGGCAGCCTGGGGTTACAGTGTATATTCACAACCCATGACCTGCCAGACACCATCGTGTCTGACAATGGGTTGCAATTCATGGCCACGGGATTCCAGGAGTTCCTAGCAGAACTGGAAATCCATCACACATTAACAGCCCCTTACCACCCAGCTTGTAACGGCCAAGCAGAAGAGGCCATCCTCTCAGCCAAGAAGGCCCTAGGGTGAACGGGGCAAGGAAGTTGGCCAAACAAAGTGGCCTCCTATCTCTTGGGCCAACAGTCGACACCTTGCCCCAACATTAATAAAAGCCCCCCAGAGTTGCTGATGGGCCGGTGGCTTCTCACAACATTAGAGCAGCTGCACACACACACAC